ATCTCGAAAACGATTAATGTAGGTTTATGACGTACTATATGAATTTTGTTTAAAATTTCGATTAGGATTGAGATATGGAATAATATACAGGGTGTTTCATTAAACTAAAAGCAATTTTGTTTCGTTATGATCTTTTGATTGATCCTGTATACTTACTTTTTTGTTATTGTAATAGATTAAAAAAAAAACTTAAAACCGTATTAAAATAAAATATCTACAGGCCAAAGACCCATTTATTTTAAACATCATTTCACAGGTGTGACAAATAACTACAGATTTTGTTGTCCGTAAACGCCAAATAAGACGAATTTGGAAAAGATTTCGTTAAAATGTATAAATAAATAGAACACCAGAGAAAGTACAAAATAATAACGTATCTACCTGTACTAGCTCCGTCTAATAACGAAAGTATATTACATTTCTTTAAGATGGAGCTACACTGTCTAGATACATATTCTCTTTGAGCTTCATCTTCTCTCGGTAAAAGGAATCTGCAAGTCTCATTATGCTATCAAATATTTAAAATTATATTAAATTTCTCTACCTACTAAGCCAAACACCAGATACAAAATAATTATATCGTACTAAACAGATTTTGAGAACTCCAGTACACTCCATGCGCCTCTAATTAGCGCGATTTTCGTTTTTGCTTTTTAAATTATACCAACTTCCCAAGTCTAAAAATCACATTCTAAAACCGCGAGCCTCGCTCCAACGTTTATCCAACGAGCCCCCCGCACTTCCTGAGTTCTTTTTTGATTCACGATTTCTATTGATTGCAATAAATTTTATGCAGCATCGAATCGCCACGATGACCATTTCGCATGAGAACTTTTTTATACACAAGCTAACATCATTTATACAAAAAAGCACAAATAAAGTTAAAAAATCTAATAAGTACAAGAAACGAAATTAATGGATTACAAATGGTATTATTAAGTCTATAAAAAAAAAATCAACCCCACAAAATTATAATGGAACAGCCTGTCATGGAAAATATAGAGGCGTTCAAAAAATATCGAAATAAATTAAACGATTTGATAAAATAACGAAGCAAAATTATTTTAAATTAAAAGTAGAGAAAAATAAAACAAAAAAGAAGAACTGTGGCGTTGTATAAATTCTATTTGTGGTAAATATACAAAAAATAATGAAATAAATGAAATAAGAGATGAAGAGGGATATATATAAAGAACATAATAACATTGCCAACCAATTTGTGAATTATTTTACAGGTGTTGGTAAAAAATTAGCCGAACAGATAGTTAAATCTCATAATCATACTAATAACAATAAAACATTTATGCCCAATATCCACTCAATGTATTTATTTCCTGTTGAAGAATATGGGATATTAAGTATTATAAGGGGTTTAAAAAATCAAAAAGCTCCAGGAATTGATGGTATTCGAGCAGAAACCATAAAAGAAGTAGCGGACAAACTTTCAGGACCACTAACTCATTTGATAAACAAATCATTTGATGTAGGAATATTCTTGGATATTTTAAAACAAGCTATAATAAAACCGCTTTTCAAAAAGGGTGACAAACGTGAAATGATTAATTACAGATCTATTTCGCTTATTACATTTACAAAAATTTTTGAAAAAACAGTTAAAAAAAGGTTAGTTAATTATTTAGAAAAATATAATATTATAAGTGAATATCAGTTCGGGTTCAAGGAGGCTAAGTCAACAGAAGATGCGTTATTAAGATTAACTACACAAATTCATCAAGCAATTAACAATAAAAAACCTGCACTGTGTATATTCGTTGATTTAGCTAAGGCATTCGACACAGTTAGTTATGTGGAATTATCACGTTTATTGGAAGANCACCTCCCCTGTACCGAGTTATGGAGTTCGAAAATTTCCAGCTACGGAATGATATTTTAATTTTATTCACCCCCTCAAACGGGCAGGCGAACTGTTCCACTTATACTTGGTTGTTACCCATCCAGAGAGACGTCATCCCTTATAATTTCATTTATGCACACCTCCCCTGTACCGAGTTATCGAGTTCGGAAGTTTCCATCCACGGAATCATATTTTATTTTTTTTTCACCCCTTCAAACGGGCAGGCGAACTGTTTCACCTATACTAGGTTATTACCCATCCAGAAAGACGTCATCCCTTAAAAGTTCATTTACGCACACCTCCTCTGTACCGAGTTATCGAGTTCGAAAATTTCCATCCACGGAATCATATTTCAATTTTATTCACCCCCTCAAACGGGCAGGCGAACATCATCCCTTCTATCCCTCATGAAAATACACTTTAATTATATCACTTTTAATTGTTATAAACATATTTGTAGCATCGCCGGCCAAGTGTCTTAAGTGTAGATATGGATGACTCTGTTACACAGAATGTCGATTTGCCGCACACCTGAAATGGTATATCAGATACTCTATCTCAAAACGCAATAATTTGTGGATGGAAATGTGTGGATAACTTCACACAAACGGTTTTCTACGGATCAGAATTTACTCACGTTTCTAGAATGCAGTGAAACATCAGCTGTGGGCATCTTATGCGACTGAACCAGATGAAAACGAAGAGCCCATTTTTGGATATTATTGCACTTGTAAAACTGGTGCAAGAACAATAGGTTGTTGTGCTCACGTAGCCAGCGTGTTGTGGTATTTGGGGTTTGCGCGATATCAACAAAATATACATTACCCCAGTGACGCAATATTAATAGTATATTACGTAATAAGTGTTGTAAAAAGCATTTTACGCACGAATGGAAAAGTACAAACAGTATTGTATTGACCGTTGCTAGGCGGTTGCTAAGAAAACTGTACGATTTTTTTACCATGCTGTGCGATTTTTTTACCGTACGTAATAGGAATCTTACATTGATCGCAGACGGTGTGCTTTTAAGTATTTACAGTAGTGGTCGTAGGTAAACTATATTAATGATAGTCTCAACAGATATAATAACATAGAAATTGATGATATATTGGATCCATGAAAATAAAATACATGTAGACGTACTAAGATTAGTGAGAGACAAGGGGAACTCACGGTAAAAAAGACACTCCGATGGTGGGAGGCAAGGGGACCGCACGGTAAAAAAGGCACCCCAAAGAGGTGTTGGACCGATTTTGCAACCTCCACGTGGTACACCTTGCGTAATGCAAATGCAAACGGCAAAAAATATCAAATAACATTTTTACCCCTTCGAATACAGAGTTATTCCTCTAAAGTCAATGTAACTCGAAAACTATGAACTTTAGGATATTGTGCCAATGGAGACTTTTGATCGACAGGTTAAGAGCTGTAACATATAAAAATTTCAGTCAATTTAACTGAAACTACTTTTCCAAAAGAAAAGTGCGAGGTCCTATATCTACTTGCGGAGAAGAAAAACTGTTAGTAAATATGTTTTTATTTTCTTAAGAATTTAGGATAATATTTTATGTATGTAATTAAACTCCAGAAATTATACAAGATGCCTCTTAATTCGACTGCCAAATTTTACGGGATGTTCGTTAGTTAAAATGAACACAAACAGTTAAAGGGTCAATTATAACCCCTTCTATTGACAATATATATGTTTTTATATATTTTGTTAATATCAAATTTGGTACACGATTTTGTTAATATTGTTGAGTCATAAATATACAAATTCACCAAAAATGGGTTGCGTTGTGGTGCAGAGCTTGACAAAACATGTTTTTTTTAGTTTCTTGGAAAATTCAATTCAGTCCTTGTAGTAGTAAAGATTGATGAGAATTGAGAAAATTATTGCTTTTTAAAAATATCGATAAAGCCCACGATTTTCGAGAAAAATTTTATAATGTCACAGTTACGCCCAAGAATAACTACAGAAAAAGAACTGTGATGTTTATCTTAAAATAACACAGGCCGACAAAATTGGCTGACCCTCTAACCCAGAAATCAGAATGTACATTTCCGAAGGATTTTGGTGCGCTGAATTCGAATCTGTGGTCCAAATTTCTCAATTGGCTCTGGTTTTCGAGATATCCTAACCTAAAAGTGCCAATATCGCGATTTTTTGACATATTTGAGGTTATGTTACATGTATAGGTATTTTTTTTGCTAAAACTATTAATGGGATCCTAAAAAGCGCTTGGATTTATCCCGATATCATTTTTCGTTTTTGAGAAATCGCGTGTTGAATTTAGTAACTTGATTTATTTCTCGATTTTTAGAGTTTATGGGTTTGAAGTTTATGGGTTAAGGGTTTATGGGTATATGGTCTCACTTGTTCTTGTGGTCGCTGACCATGAATCTGAACTGCAAAATACTCTATCACGTCAAATTTTGCAATAATAATTTTAGACATTTACAAAATGTCTAAAAATTCGATATATGGCCGATATTTTACGCATTATATCAATCTGGAAATACATTTACACGCAAAAGAGACTAATTCGCTCAATCCCGAACTTATAAACCCTAAGCCCAAAAACCCTAAGCCCATAAACCCTTAACCCATAAATTCCAAACCCATAAACTCTAGAAATCGAGAAATAAGTCAAACTACTAAATTTCTACATGCGATTTCTCAAAGACGAAAAATCGGGATAAATCCAAGTGCGTTTTAAAGAGTAAGTATAGTACTTTGACCCCATTAATGTTTCAGCAAAAAAATTACTTTTCCATGTAACATTACCTCAAATATGTCGAAAATCGCGATTTCGACACTTTTAGGTTAGGATATCTCGAAAACCAGACACAATTGAGAAATTTTTGACCCCGGATTCGAATTCAGCGCACAAAAATCCTTTGGGAAAGTATATTCGTGTTATTGGGTTAATATTTTATAGGCCTGTGTAATATTAATACCTAACATAACTTTTAACGAGTTAAGTATACCCATAACTTACTCACATAATAATAAAAAAATGTTTTCGTTTATATGTATTTTAAAAATTTCTTAGAAATGTTAGAAATTTTAATTTAGGCATACGGTTTGGTTTCATAATGCATCCAGGTAGTATATTAAAAGCAATAAATTTAATACATTTTTATGGACAGTGGACTTATCCCCAAAGATGATCTGGACTTTGTACTAGCGTCATGCTACAATCACTCGGAAGAAATTTTTCCTGATCCAATAGATGTCTTTCTGCAACCCGATTCAGAAGATTTGGCTAGCTGGAGAAAGCTGAGGAATTACCGGCTCGTGTCACTGGATCCCGTGGAAGATGCTAAAAAGTCTGCTGAAAAAGAAAGGGAGCGTGAGTTGGCAGCCCATGATTATGATATGGCCAGCTTGGACAAATCGAAACAACACGTCATACCTTACAGATATAATTTTGTGAGTAATCGCATTTAAATGAGGCTTTGCCTTTTCCTTTAGTAAATTTTAAAATGCAGTCTTCTAGTTGTTAGGCAACGTTGTTGGCTCATTCCGTGTTAAGTGAACACGATGGTTTCATCTTGATAAAAGGTTAGTGTTGAACAAATGTTCAAGTGATGTGCAAAATCTAATTGTAAGTTTCAGTGCTGCTGTTGTGAAACCGTAGCAGATAGCATCTTGAAAATGGCAACCAAGGACAACTTTTGAAGCTCTGCATGAAGGTTTAAAAAGTTTTAGACCTTCTAAAAACTTATGCTTAATCCATTACTGATTTTAAGCTACTAAAGTATAATCTATTAAGCTCATTGTGTTGTGCTAATGAACATGAAGTTTGAATTGTATGCGTCAAATTTTATGAATTTTCAAACAACAATGGCACAAAACATTTTTTTCCAATCAAATTCGTTTTATTACCATGGAAATGAGGAGACTCCATCTTTAAGATAAGAAAAAATGCTTTAAAAATTGCACTTATTTAATTACGTGTAGTGACCTATACACTTATACAAACAATCTACAGGACGATGATTGTCAGTCACACAGAAACTGCAACTATCATACAGAGCAATTAATTGTCCTTGGTTGACATTTCAGGATGGTAGTTGCTACGATTCCACAACAGTAGCAATTGAAACTTGCCAATTTGTTCGAATGCGCATCGGTGGCCTTCATGCTGGACACCCAATGTGAAGGTGAAATTTTACACAACATGGTTTCAGATACATATGTAGCTGTCTGTGCCTACTCAAAATTTGAGTAAGATTGGAAATACTGACTAAAAAGTTTTGATCACTTATCATGAAATGACCCATCTCATTTCGATGTCGTGCTCAATAGAAAATTGCAGTTTTCGATATTGTAACCACTTTCTTGAGAGAATTTTTCAGGTCAAACAGACTTTCAGCATATTTATAATTTTTCGAATTATAGCCAAAAAATTATTTCCGGTAACCTTAGAAACAGCTGAAACTGAACTTTCTTATGAAATAACGAGTGAAATAATAATGGTATGTTTTTCGTAATAAATTCAAATGGCGTAGTTAATTTTTTAAATAACTCTAGATGTTTTAGACTTACAGATTAAAACTTTATTGTTTAAAAGGAAATCATAGCTGACCATGGTCTAATTAAAAAGAGTATGCGTCGTCCAGAAATACGTAGTTTATTATATTTATCGCAAAAAGCAAAAAATCCAGTTGCTTTTTCATAAATCTAAAAATGACTAAATTCATCTCGTCCAGATGTGTAGAGGTACAAGTATTTTGCTGATGTATTTAAATTATAATATAAAACCTTTATTAAATAACAATATTTATCAGATCCAAATAATTTTTTTGTACAGGAGTACCTGCCAAACTATTAAAGACCGCATTTCGCTTATAGTCCTGTAGCCAGAGGGGTCCCAATTGCCTCCTTCATTTAGATGGAGTTACCCAAGTATTTTTTATGTATTTTGAGCTGCAGAACACGAATTTTTTGGGTAGAAGTTTGCCCGGATGTCGATAAGTTTTTTATTAACAAACAAATTGTAAAATACTGAACACTTAGTTTTTGGCAAAATAAAAAGTACTTTCTTATTATTTGACCCATTTTAAGAAGAAAATATCTCTTGCAATTTTTTTGTTAAACGCATAGTTTTCGAGAAAAACTCCGTTAAAAACTCGAAAAATGCGATTTTTGCGATTTTCAATTGTTAATAACTTTTGATTGAATAGGTATTTTGTAATTCTGCTGACGGCGTTTGAAAGTTCATGTTAAATATTACAAATTATGAGTAATTGCAGTGTGAAAATTTGTTTTTTCCACTGTTATTTGAAGCTATAAACAAATAGCGATTGAGCGTTCAGAAGTGTGCGCCGCCATGTATGTAAGAGAGCGGTTACCTTCTTACAGGGGTTTAATACACGATCTTGACGCGTACTCTTCATTTCTAGACCAAAGAAACGATGAAAACTGAATGAAACATTAACAATGTAAGGAAAATTTGCAATATTATAATAATTAAAATTATTATACAAGTTAAAAAAATAATAATTATAAAAACACCTAAATTATACGACGTTACGCTTTTAATATAAGTAAGTATAAACTTTTATAATATCGTTTATAAAGCAAAGTAGGCAAGACGAGAGCTTTGAAATCAAACTCTGTGGAATATTTACGAAATTTTGCTAAGAGTAAATATGACTTTTTGGCAAAATAATTGCAATACTTTTCTTTCTTCATTTTGAAATTATTTTGCAGATTGTTCCGACATAAGTATAAAAGATAGCGTGAAAAAAGCTGAAAAGTTCTTAGTTAACATTATAAGAAATGTTGATTGTAGTTGTAAATCATTTAATGAATTAAGGGTTTGGATTTATTTTTACACAAAAATTCTATAATAGAAAATTTGCCACCGACTTCTGATTCGATTAGACTTCACATCTTACGGGCTTTTTACGTTGTTCATATGCAAACGAATGTTTTAAATTCACATATGAACGAATTAGACCCAACTTCATATGGATTTTTTATTAAAGACGATCTACTGTTGCCAGAGAGGGTAAACATCTTAATACCACCTCCCGAAGAATTACCATCAGCTGCCTGCAATTGTGCAATGTGCAGCACAAAGGCATGTAATTACAATCGACTTCAAATATCTTGCTGCACTTTCTGTGCATGTATGAAAAAAAATACTTGTAAGAATAAAAATATTTGAAACTTTTACAGTTTAGAAAATCATACATAAAATTATTTTTGTATAATAATTTTAATTATTGTAATATTGCAAATTTTCATTAAATCGTTAATGTTTCGTTCAGTTTTCATCGTTTCTTTGGTCTAGAAATGAAGAGTACGCGTCAAGATCGTGTATTAAACGCCTGTAAGAAGGCAACCGCTCTCTTACATACATGGCGGCGCACCCTTCTGAACGCTCAATAGCTATTTGTTTATAGCTTCAAATAACAGTGGAAAAAACAAATTTTCACACTGCAATTACTCATAATTTGTAGTATTTACAATGAACTTTCAAACGCCGTCAGCAGAATTACAAAATACCTATTCAATCAAAAGTTATTAACAATTGAAAATCGCAAAAATCGCATTTTTCGAGTTTTTAACGGCGTTTATCTCGAAAACTATACGTTTAACAAAACAAAAAAATTGCAAGAGACATTTTCTTCTTAAAATGGGTCAAATAACAAGAAAGTATTTTTTATTTTGCCAAAAACTAAGTGTTCAGTATTTTGCAATTTTTTTGTTAATAAAAAACTTATCGACATCCGGGCAAACTTCTACCCAAAAACTTCGTGTTCTGCAGCTCAAAATACATAAAAAACACTTGGGTAACTCCATCTAAATGAAGGAGGCAATTGGGACCCCCTGGCTACAGGACTATTAAGCTGGTGCAGCCTGGCGGGTCCAGCCAAGTTTGAAACATAGCTCAACAAATGAATATACAATCACACTGGCTGGTATAAGTCTTTCCGATATCAATTGAAGAACCAACACAATGACAGTATGTGACAGGTTCGGTCGTTGACGCAGGCATTGAAATATTTGAAAAACTTGTTCGCATATTTATTTAGCCATACCCATATGCAGGTCTGGTCGAACGAAACGTGCAGGTGGTAGAAATGTATATTCCCAGTTGAAGCGTGCGGGCAAACAGCAATACGCACTGTTGCTCTGGTCCACTGCGTCATAAAATTCAGTTGTCGATAAGTCGCCTGGTAGTGCAGTGCAGCAATGTGGAATTTGGTGTGATTCAGATAATTTTAATTTATTATAGGCACCCTTCTATTAATCTTTCATAATACAATTGCGAAAGGGAAAAATAAGAGGGATATTTGGTTTACTAATATTATTACAACATGGCATTTTGGAGACCTTTTGAAACGGAACAAAACGAAATTTACCATGAATGTTATAAAATTGTTTGAGGACATAAATAATTAGATGTTGTTGGTCAATGATAGAGATTTTCTACACATTATATACAAATTATTATAATTTTTTACCTTTAGCAGAAAACTTTTTTAAGGGCGCCTATGAAACTCATTAAATTTGATTGCTCGGTTTTTTTATGCATGTTCAACTAAACCCGGAAACATTATACCAGGGCCCGAGAACTTATACTTGAACAAATGGGGAAACTCTGGGAACCACGTGACTTGAGATGGATATACAAGTTGGGGAAAGAGTAAACAGATGTCGCCACAAAAATTTTGAAGAATAAATTTTGACAATTGCAATTATGAATCATTTCATGTCATTCATGTTGTTCATGTTTATTGTTGGTTAGGTTTGGCGAGTGTTGGTGTGTGTTTTATTTGTGTTTTTAGTGTGTTTTATTAGATATTTCATTCACATTTATTTATATAACATAATAATGTCTGATCATCATATAATCACATTTTTTTATTAATAATAAAATGTTTTTTTTTTTTTTTTTTTTAATAAAAAATGTGATCAGAGGTAGGTAGTTTTTTTTATGGATATCAACACAACGAAAAATTTAAAGTTGCATAATAAATCTCTATTACAAGAATTAATCAAAGATTGGTTTAGTAAAATTATTTACTTGTAATATTTTTTTATTCACCGTGAAAGCTAATACAATATAGAAAGCACTGAAACTCTATAATCATTTTCACTCTTTTTTTTTCAAAATATGTACTGAAATTTGAAATTTTTTCAACAAACATTTTAAAAAGTTACAGTATCAAAATTATTTCTTATTTTAAGTAGGAAGACTATTAGAGCATTTAAAAGTGTCTTTAATGCTTGAGTGATTTTAATGCTTTTTATCAAATGTACTTATTTTCTCATGGTGACAAAAAAAATTATCTACGTGAAAATTATTTTACAAAATCAATTTCTGAGTGATCTGTGTAGGGTGAGATTTGTTATGTAATTTTAAATTTAGCGGCGGCAGAATACCTAAAACAAATATTGAGTAGGTAGGTATATAGTTGTAGAGCGTACAACTAGATGGCGCTTGCATCTTTTACTGGCTACAGGTAATTTAACTCACTGTATTACCGATAATTCCTAGAAAAGGAAAGCAATAGAAGTTGGAGAAAGTGTCAACAGTTAGCGCTGTTAATGACCACGAAATCTGTTCAAGTTTCCTATCTATAGTATCATTTATCTAGGGATTATACATGCGCTGGTTTCCTTTTGGGTCAGGCGGCACAAGCCTGGCTTATTTACGTACGCCAATAGATTTTTGTCTATTAGTATCACGTGACTGCCCACGTTGACTGTACAGTCTTAGATATCAATCAATAGTCGTGATATTATTTTGTACAGTGCGAGGTTACTTTATTGTTTCAAACTTGGCTGGACCCGCCAGGCTGTACCAGCCTCAGTGAAATAAGGCTTTTAAAGTCTCCTGTGTTTTCCAATCCTATTGCAGTCTCTCTTCTTGACCTGCTGAAGATGAATTTAGTCAAACTGTACACGAAATTTATTGTTATGTAGAGCTGGCTACGAAGAAAACCAAATTCAAGTATATAACATTTTTTTCAAAAATTAGGTGTTTTCTGTTTATTGGGTATATTTCTACCAGTGAAAAAATGTATTAAATAAACTTGCTCAGGATCAGTTAAAGGTTATTTTTACATAGTATACTGAAAACAGTAGACAAATATAATATACAGGGTGTTGCATAAGTGTGTACAAAATATTCATACAATTTTTTAAAGTGTGTAGTATTGTCTTTTGGGGTAGAGGTATATTTGGTGTTAATTAATAGAGAGTTCGAGTTAAGATTATTTTATTTTCTGTAATTACAATAATGCAAACTTTTACTGATTGTGAGTAGGAAATATGTATTATCATTGCTCGGACGACCGGATCTAGGATCTTTGACCCGTCGCGTATTGCATTTACTGCAAAGTTGCAAGTAGCGGTTAATGACACTACACGTGGAGCCTCTAAAAAGTTACAGTCTAAGGGGGTGAAGTAAACCCCCCTTGTATGTTTTTTCTACAAACTTTTTTATTTTTTTAGATTTCATAAGCGAAATTATATTATAAAATGCCTTTATTTATTCGGAATTTGTTTTGTCTCCTAGAAAAATGTTGTATTACTCTTAGTTATTGAGAAAAACAATTTTTTTAGAGCGTTGCAAAATACGGTATGAACCCCTATTCTGAGCTTGTGTGTAATTTATTCGTAGTAGGCTACTACAACACTTTTTTAGCACCTACCTACAGCTTAGTATGTTCTGTAATTAATTATGGCGAATAAAATCAATCATTCTCTAATGAAGAATATGTAATGATGCATCATTTTATTTACTATTATAGACAGTTATATGTTTTGAGAAAGGAAATAAACATTTGCGAAATCTTGAGAACAATCACAGAGTGTGATTATAATTTTATAAACAAATAAATATTGTCATTGTTATGCTTTTGTATCACAATCTTTTCTAATACATTCGTAACTTACTAGTTGAGTTATTTTGAACAAAACGATTACAAAAAAAAATGGGAGTGCCAAGGTGTTAAGGACAAACACTTGACAAGTGGCTCTATACAGGGTGATTTCACTTTAAATACAGAAACTGCAGGACTAGCTTCATTACCAAAAAATAAGTAGAGTTTGCTCTACAAACTTTTTTCATGCGGGACTCGGTATTGGATATTTTCATAATGCGCTGACGGAATTAAATGAAATTTACTACAACGTATTCACTTAATTAGACCTTTTATTAACCTTGTGGCTTTAAGCAGTGGTGTGCTACAGACCTAATTTTACCAAAATGTGCCACTTGCGTTTTTTTCTAGAAATAATGTTACATTCAGGTACAGCTACGTTACGTTAAATGAATGAAAAATGTTTCTTGGTATTTTTTAATAGTAGCAGCCGTTTAGAAGATTTTTGGGTTTGTTTTTATGTTTTATTGAATTTTCCTTATAAATGAATATGTTTATTTATGGAAAACCTCCTAGTTTTAACCAGTGACGTGCTACTAAGGCGTCCGCCAACTTTTCCCACGAAAAGAATACACTACCGGCGCTTGTTTATAGAAATAAAGTGATATTAGCAAATAGGTCAAGTAAGTAATTAAGTAACGATTCCTACAACAATAATTGTTCAAAACGAAATCCTTCCGCATCAATACATTTTTGACATCTTCTAATCTGGTTATTTATAGAGGAACTTATCATGACATGATTTTCCTGAAAAAATTATAATTTTCCTCTGTTCTTTGCCACAATTCGTCTCGTGTTCATAAGCCCAAGAAGGACTGCAGCTTCAGGAATAAATAAACAAAGCTAGTTATAACACTAAAACGAGATCATCGTAAAGCTTGCGTAATGCAGACAAAATAATAAATTTTTGCAGATGGGTTTTACACAAATGTGAGTATGTGGACTAAATTTGCTCATTATGGTCTAAGAAACTAATCTAGGGGCAGATTTCAGGGGGCTGTAACTCCGAAAGAGGGGACCACTTGGCAAAAATAAAAAATACGGGTCCCCTAAATTTGTCTTAAGAACCTGTGACCAAATTTTGTTGCATTAAATTCGGGACACCCTGTATAACAGTTTACATTACTTCACTGGAGTAATGGATGCAAAAGGAAGGCAAGGGAATTAGGATACTAAAAATAAAATTTGTTTGGCCTGCAGGCTTCCGCTTCAATAGCTGTACAATTTCTGGGCTGGTTGTCACGTCGTTTGTTTAGATTTCTTGGCGTTATGAAGAACATATCGTTCTCTCTATCAGAAGAAACTCTGAAACTGGATATTGAGTCCTCTGGTTGTTATTTATATTTGCTTATATTTGCTATGTACACTGGTCTATGGCGTTCCGATGCATGGTTTGTGGTCATTGGCCCGTGTCGTTACAGTCGTTTTCAAATTTCCGTCAGTTTCAACCCCTCATCACAATTGATCTCGATTCTTCTGAATTTCTATTGCTTCCCTGTAGTGTAAAGGTTTTGTCGAGATCTTTTCTCTTTCACTAGAATTCTGACCTGTGTTTTGCAACTGCTGGTTTTTCTACGTTGTGTTCTTCGAGTGGCACTTGTGCTCCTTAATCTCGTACTAACGTATCTTGAAATCCAGCGTGGGAGAATTTCTCATAAAACTCGAAAACTACCTACTGTAAAAGAGTATAAAATAAGTAAAAACTAAAAAAAAATTCTGCCGCTTGCCAAATAAGTTCCATAACGACCGCACAAACGTTACATACTGCTGATAAATTACCGTCATACTGCTAGTCTGCGGTGTCTGCCACTATTTTTCTATAAAAGTGCATGTTGTGACAAGAAAATCGCACTTGAGTAGATCCGGTTAGGATCCACTTTTTTCCGGTTTTCTTATAAAAAATGGATGGTTTGACTTACTGTTGCTTCCAGACGGTTAGGGTCCACTTTTTTTCCCAGATTTCCACCCCCCTCTCTATCTCGAAAATGGCCGTTCTGCCATATATATGTGGTATAAGAAAAAATGCTCCACATCGATTCAGGAGCTTATATACCACACGGCAGAAAGTTAGTGTTCATGGATTTTTTGACGCGCCATATCGTAGACTACTGGTTTTAATTCAATCTGTACATAGATTCCCATTTAATTATTTGTTTACTGAAGTAACAAAAGTATGAAGTATTTAGGTTAATTGCTTTAAAGTAATTTATTAGGAAATAATTTTACTTCATATTTTTCAGGCACATAAGGTCTTAATAGGTGGTATAATAGAAAAGAAGCATCCTAGTAATATAAAATTGATGAATTCGTCTCATCACAGTCCCCAGACCAATGCAGGGTATTCTAGACAACCTTCAGATGGAACAGTCTTCCAATATTAAACGTTTTTTAATACATAAATTTGTTTTACAAAATTGTAGAAATTGTTTAATATATTGCTTAATTTTTATTATGATTTTCATTTTTAAATTAAAAGAACATATTTAGTACTTTATATAGTGTTTTAATTTAGATGAAATATCAATGCGATATCAAAAACCGTTAGAGATGGTGAATGAGACAAATTTACATAATTTAGTAAATAATATTGGAAAAAAAAATTGAACAATAATAATATCATCAGTCCCTCAGCTCTAAATGAACAGTGAATTTATATTATGCTTCTAAACTTTCAGAAACCCTACAACAGAATCTGTGGTAATATGTTTCTATCTTACCATCCCCGGCCTGTCAACCTTTAAATGCTGGTCTGGTATACCCATTAGACTGGGAGATATTAGACTGAAGTTCGACGACGTCTTTTTCGTTTATGCCTCTGAGAGTACTGAAAGGTAACCGAGAGACAAGTACAATAAACTAAATTTAAAAGATGGGCTGCGGGACACCTTTGTGAAAATTCGATTTTCCTTTTCAAAAAAATAATGTGTACAGCGAAGGTATTTCTCACTTATGCCATGTTCATAAGTTGAAGAGAAGTATCGATTTTATCACAAAATTTTTTTGGCATAAGTGCCGCAAGGAACCTAAAACTGGAAAACTTTGTAAGAAAATGTGAAAAACAACTTTATTTGTCTACCAATTTATCATTAATGCCAATTAGAAATATGACAATATTATAGTCGAAAAGCGCATAAAAAAACATTGGCATAAGTCCTACCTTTGACTAATATAGTCAAGGGTCCTACTAAGGACTAAAAAAAATAGAGCTTTGGAAAAACTGCGGAAAATTTTTATTTTCATTTTATAACTTTCTCATTTATGCCGTTGAAAATTTATGATACTTACTATAAATAATGTACTGTGCCAAGTTGGGATAACTCCTCTATGGGTGCAATATGAAGGCATAAGTCCCAAAGTTGTAGGAAAATTCATGAAAATTTTTACGTCTTTCTCGCTTGTGTCATTTTGCATGCACGTAGGAAACTACATTATAAAGTCATATAAATGTAGGCATAAGTCCACATTGGATTTTCATGTTGTAAATTAATTTGAATTTTAATACGAGTCAGGTCGACAAAGTAGAAAAATAATAGAAAATTGCCACAATTTTCTCTTTTATGCCGTTTCGTACACGAGTAGAAAATATTATTAAAAGCCACTTTCAAGCCACAAGGTACCGTCGTATGTAAAATTTTTTAAAAAGTTGTCAAAAATTACAAATTGCGGTTATTTCCTCGCCTGCGCAATTTTCTATATACTTAAATTAATTTAAAAAATGTATCATAAATAATGCAAGTGTCGGAGAAAATATCTATATAAAAAATGAATATTTCTAACTATAAAAGGGAATAAAAAATTTAAAATAAAAAAAAATTACATGAAAAAGAGAACGCTTTGTATTGGGTTTAGTTTGATTTTTTGACATGTTATTTTTTATTACGATAATTCTTAATAACTTATAATAAAGTTGGTAGTAAGGCCTTTATTTTGATCCGTTAAAATATATTTTCATTCATCAAGAGCTGGAGATAAAACTGTTTGAAATTTGAAAATGTGAAAAGTCATAAAACCGAAAAAATTCATATTTTTAATATGCTTTAATTTTAAGTTAATAAAAATTTATATTATTTTAAGTGTTATGGTTTGTGTTAATTATAATTAAAAATTAGTAATTCAAAGTCTTTGAGGAAGCATTCTAACAATTGAGTTGGCAGCGGTTTTTTAATTCATTTACTATTAAATTGAAGCAATTAGTGATGTACTTATACATGGTTAAGACAGATATTTTATTCATTCGAAAACTGATATATTTTTACAAATATTTAACAAAAAATAAATTTTATACAATCTATGCTCGAGCTAATCTGTCTGTCTGTATACCCTTGCTTGACAGAAATCTGGGATTCTTGGATTATTCCGAAATCATAATTCATACACGCCACATAGTGGCCACCAAGAAAAAGCCGTAACAAAAAAACTTTTTACAGTAGCTAGTAGATAGCTCTGTTTGTAAATCTAGTGACCTTGTTTCCCCTACAGAGAAGTTATTCAAATGGAGTATAGTGCTCAGCTGCATTTAAAGTTCATTTAGTTGTTATTTAAGTATACTTTTTAAAATGACTTAAAAATCCCAAGAAATAAAGTAAAATTCCCTATTTCTCCAATTCCAAAAAAATCTGTAGATCTGGCATCACTCTTTCTAGGGCTGCGCCTCACCTTAGAGAAATTGTGCTGCCCTCTGTTAATGGATTGTATTAACATATCGGAATACCGGAGTCGGAATTGTATAAGTAGTGACATCTGTTAAAGAAAAGACAAACGACGAAAACAAAGATGACCACCGGTCGCTGAATTACAAGTGGAAGTGGATCTTATTTGTGGAAGGACGAAACGGGCGGTGACTATGATACACCTTCATTATAGCCATCCTTCTCTATCGCACGGATTTCTATGACTTACTTTATCGCTCTCACGTAACGGCCGATGTACCATGGGGCCTTTCCAAACCTGTATATGAATTCTAGCTTAATTCTTTCTCCTTCTTCTTCTTCTACCTTAGTCGGCTCAATTCAAGTAGATCATCCTTGCACTGTAGCGGTTAATTCAAATTATATAATATTTTTAATGTTTAAAATTTAAATATATTGTTCATAAATACGTATGGTATGTGATAAAATACTCTACTTATAGGCACAAACGAGAAATTTGTGGCAATATAATTAATAATTTTTCTTTTTCTGATCATGACTCAAAAAATTATTAAAAATCATTTCCAATATGTGGGGACTTATGCCGAAATAGTTTATTATTAACTTTCATTAAATACATGAATTACTTATATTTATAAAATTAAAAATACGCTATATGTATGTAAGTATAAGTATTTCGAAACTTGTGCAGGCGATGAAATAAACTTTTTAAAAATGTTTACATACGACGGTACCTTGTGGCATTCATGCCACTCTTGAAAATGGCTTTTAATAATATTTTCTACTCGTATACAAAACGGCATAAACGAGAAAATTGTGGCAATTTTCTATTATTTTTCTACTTTGTCGACCTGACTCGTATTAAAATTCAAATTAATTTACAATATGAAAATCCAATGTGGACTTATGCCTACATTTGTATGACTTTATAATGTAGTTTCCTACGTACATGCAAAATGGCATAACCGAGAAAGACGTAACAATTTTCATGAATTTTCCTACAACTTTTCAAAAAATTTTTGGCATATAGTCCTCACCAGGGACTTATGCCCTTTAAAAAAATGAATACTTTCACTTTTTTCTTTGCAATAAGCTTTAATTTATTCACGAGAAAAACGTTGACCAAAACGAAAAAGTTTTCCGCAGCTTTTCCAAAGCCCTATTTTCTTTAGTCCTTAGTAGGACTTATGCCAATGTTTTTTATGAACTTTTTGAATATAATAATGTAATATTTCTAATTGGCATTAATGAGAAATTGGTAGACAAATAAAGATGTTTTTCTCAGTTTCTTACAAAGTTTTCCATTTTTAGATCCCTTGCGGCACTTATGCCAAAAAAATTTTGTGATAAAATAGATACTTCTCTTCAACTTATGAATATGGCATAAGTGAGAGATACGTCGCTGTACACATTATTTTTTTGAAAAGGAAAATCGAATTTTCACAAAGGTGACCCGCAGCCCATCTTTTAAATTTATGTTAGTTTATTGTACTTGTCTCTCGGTTACCTTTCAGTACTCTCAGTGGCATAAACAAGAAAGACGTCGTCAAACTTCAGTCTAATATCTCCCGGTCTATATACTTTCAAGGCCTATAGTCCAGACGGTATTTGTTTCAAAAAGCCATATTGAGGTGAATCGTATATCCACGGAGATTTGGCTTTTTGGCTTTCAAATATCACTAGAAATGAAAATTTTTCTATACGCATAAAAAAAACGTGGACTTAACTTATGGCGGCACAATATGTTATTAAAATTCGAAAAATGTCATATTTTTCTTCCTATTTAATTATGTCTCTTTTCAACAGTTGATTTTAGGTGAAAATGGAAGAGGAAAATAATGTTTGTAATTAAATTTTTTATAAAACATGACTAGTTACAAATGGAATCAATCCTGATTATTATGGTAAAAACCGAAAAAATCGCAAAAATGGGGTTGAAAAATATACTTCTTAGGGATTTTTTTCGGGGTATTTAAATTGGGTATAGGACCTTTATACTTGGCTCAAGAAAACTTCATGTTATGTAGAATCATCACACCAAATTTCATCAAAGTCGGTTCTATAGATTTTGCATAAGTTTTCAATCCAGATTTTGAAAAAAAATTTGAGACTTTTCAAAATTTTGCACAGCAAAAACCAAGGCCCTTAGATACTTGAAAATTTAATCACATATAGAAGGGCTCTCAAGCTTTGAAACTTTTTTTGAAAAATTCGAATCCGTCAATTAGGAGAGCTCTGGCGCTTGTTTAAACATTGGTCGAATTTTTGTACTTATAAACAATTAGAATAACTGTGAATATTCAATCGAATCAAATTTTTTAAAGTGGGTTTTAAAAGTTCTTGGAAAGACGCTTCCTTAAAAAAAAAATCGGCGTGTTCAAAACCGCGATGCGCTTAAAAATTTTTAATCTCACCTTCTAGAGGTCCGATTTTGATGACTTTTTTTAATTTTAGCGTATTTTCAAATGCCTATCGTTAATAATAATTATTGGCCTTCCAACAGTCCGATAAATTATTTATTTTTAAACTTCCTTTACTTATCAATTCTATTTTTCTATTGTATCAAAGGTAAGTGCATAAACTTATATACTGTTTATCAAAGATCAAAAACAAATTTATTTAAATACCCTGAAATTGTTTAAAAAACAATTATTTTCAAAATATGACGAAGATTAGTAATATAATGAGTTAATTTCTCATTTGCTTATATTTTAAACAATAAATAATATTTG